CCCCCCCCCCCTCCCCCCTGGGTCCACGCGGCCCCCCCCCCCCCCCCCCCCCCCCCACACACACACACTCTGCTAGCAGGGGGGATGTGTGGGACGGGAATGTGAGGGCAGTTCAATCCAAGGTGACGTGGGGCTTGCTGTCAGTGGGTTCACAGCAGGAGGAAAGGGGCTGCAGCTCAGGTCATGCTCCATAAGGCAAGGGAGCTGCGGGGTGTGCGAGTGTTGCTACAAGCCAGCATGAAATCTGAGTTATGCATGCACAAAAACATGACATCCCCTCTGCCGGTGGGAGCTCTGCCCAGCAGGCGGACATGAAAACACCAGGAAAAGGGTTACATAAGGAAGGACACGGCCCCATCCTGCCTTCAGCGCAGAGCTCCTGCAGGTGCTGCAGTTGCCCAGCACCTCCAGGATCCAGCCCCAGCCATGAGCTGGGCTGTGCTTTGTGCCAAGGACAGGAGAAAAGCTTCAGGATGTCTTGTCCCGGCCTTGGCGAGGCAAAGCCCAGCACCCTCTGCATGGGTTTGGGCACAGGGGAATCTCACAGGGCCAGGACCCACGAGGCAGGAGCTGGGTGAGGTCTGGTGTGGCATTGCTCCGGGAAACCGAGGGGCAGAGGCTGAGTGCTGTGAGCATCTCTCACACTGCTGCCTTCGGCTCCATCCCATGGGCTCCGGTCACAGTAGTGGCACATTTTGGTGCCTCCTTATGTCTATCCCCATGTCTCAGCGTGTCCCCAGCTCAGGATGTGAGCTCTGCCCTGGGGAGCTGCCCCCAGCAAAGCACTGTGCTGCTCCTCCCGTGCTGTTCCAAAGCGGGACTGTGACAGCCTGCCTCCTGCAGCCACCTCTGCACAGAGGGGGACACACTGCACGTCACGTCCACCTCCGGAAAGCCCCCATCCCAGGGGGTTGGGAATTGTGGCTCTTCCCGCAGAGCTGCTGGGATGCATGAGCCAGCGGAGCGGTGACACTGATTGCAGCTGACAGTGCTTCTGGGGGGAGCAGTGGTGCCAAAGCTGCTGCTGCTCAGGGACGGCGAGCATCTACACTGTGCAGAGCTGGGCTGCAGACACACGTGCTGAGCTCTGTGCGCTGGTCCCAGCATGGAGGCAGCTCCCTGCACAGGGCTGCAAGGGGTCCTGTGAGCAGCAAATGGTTAAGGGAATTAGGATGGAAAGTTGATAAGAATAGTTCAGTAGCTCCTGTAGGAAGATTTAGCTTAATTATCATCATTACATTTTCAATCTCTTTGCTAATAATTACGAGAAAATAGAGCATGATGTGAACACAGATGCCTGCTCTCCCTCTGACCCTGAGGACAGCTGGCAATGAGGGGATGTAGGGCTGAGGGATGCTTTCCTCTTCTGCAGCCCCAGCTCCCACCTGGGGTCCCAGGACAGCCCCCAGGCAGGTACCATAGCCAGGAGGCAACATGAGCAAGGGGGGATGTGCTGCGTTCCCATTGTGCACAGACCCCAGAGAGCAGACAGAGCCGTGGGAAGCTCTTCCCCAACACACCATCTGCCTTTGGCTGGTCACAGTGTGACTCTACTGGAGGGACCTCTGTCCTCTTCACCCTGACTCAGCTTCAGTAGCACAACATGGCCCTGCCCTGTGCCCCCCAGCGCCCACATGGATCCAGCTCTGGTCCGTGTAGGTCTGGGGCAGCTCCATGAGCTCAGTGGATGCTGTCACTCGCTCTTCCTCGTGGCACCTCTGTGTGCAGAAAGCTATTTCAGGACCCAACACAATGCTCCCTGATGTCAGCTCCAATTAGCTCTATCCCATAAGGGCGAAGTCCCCTGACACCTGGCTCCAGTGGGGCAATGACATTACAACATCCCAAGTGCTCACATGGGTTCCCCGGACAAAGCATGAGCATCGTCCCGGCACGCTTCCCAGCTGCTCCCCCCACAGCCACAACAGTGAGAGATGGAGAATTTGAGGCATTTAATCTTTGCATTGTCCTCCCCCACAATGGCATTCTCCTTCTCCAAATAACCACAAGCTGAAGACACAACAACACGTTGCTTCCCCCCAAATAGCTCCAACGAAACAAACGGAGGAAGTGCGGAGGGGTTGGAGCAGAGCCTGCTGCTGGTTGCAGGACATAGAGGGGACCTTGCTGGGAACCCACAGCCCCTCCTGGCACCGGTGGGAGCCCCAGGACAGGAGAGGTGCTGGGAGGTGCTCACAGACCCCATGGAAGCCCGGTGAGCAGCAGCCTGCATGGCAGTGCTTTCTCTCCCTGAGGAAAACTACCTGCTAAAAGCAGAGGCAGGGAAATTGCTCGACAGAATCATTTAGTAATTGTTAAAAAGAAGAACTTGTTTTCTTCGTCTTGCAACCCACAATTGCACAATGCAGCTTGCACTGT